CTCTCTGCAGTTTCTTTACTATGAATTCCACATTTCTTCCCCTCTTCCAAATTGACTCATCATCTGCAAACAGTGACAATCCCATCCAATTTTCTGTTTCACCGAACACATTTATTATTATGGAGAATAGTAATGGACTGACGATACTACCTATGAGGTGTTCCATTTTCAATATCAAACTTTCCCAAATAGCTCTTTCCTATTCTGACTTCTATAAATCATGTTAATAAAAAAAACTGTATCCATATATACATTCGACCCTTAATACCCAACATGCAAAGTCTAATTAATAACCCTTCTCTCCACATCATATCATATGCCTCTCTCTATGTCAAAGAAGTCAGCCACAACACCTTTTGTTTATCTGTGCTTTCCTAATTTCATGTTTCAAACTTAAAGCTGGATCTATTCTACTTCTCTCTTTCCTGAAACCACTCTGGTATTTGGATAAACATTCTTCACTTTCTACACAATACGTTAATCTTTCATCTTCTTCATTATTTTGCAGAAATTTGATGTTAAAGCTATTGGTCTTGTTCCTCTTATTACCTCCCAGGAGTTAACCCCTTTCAATGCATGCTAAAGTAAGGTATATTGCCTGTTTTGATGTTAAATCGTGTCCCAGTTCCATTATTTAAGCAAAAAGAATTTCCATTAACTCTTCTACCACCATTGCATTGCCATCATTACCACTACCACATAATGTGCTATGAGCATTAAAATCTCCACAACATATCACTTTCCCTTCTAAATGTACAGCTAATTCATCCCGTAATTATATTGAAAGACATCCTCATCCATTTCCTGAGTCGCCTCCCTAATCCAGTCACAAACCAGTTTATTACAACCACCACTTGATTTCCGTTTAGGTAAATGTTTGTCTCGTGCTCCTTCTCTCTTCTAGCATTCAGACGCAGCGCTACTATTACAAAACATGACCACATGAACCGGAAGTTGATGCCTTCTTTTGTGCCACTTCGAAGCAGCAGAGCCGAGCCGCAACAACGACGCCAGGGAAGGCTGCAGGGCCCCAGACTGACAGACAGCGATGGGTAAGAAAACTCGCCTCACAGGAGGAGCGGTCGGTCGGAGAACGATCCTCCAGCTTTCACCTTCCGGGCTCCGTGGTGTGGATGTCGGAGAGAGGGAAGAAGCCCCCTCGGGATCCGATGGTATTTCTTAATGTTATCTCAGTGGCTTGCTAGCTGAATGCTAAATGCTGGAGCTGTGAAGCATGTGGCCATCTTTTAAAAATCGATTAACTTAACTAAATTTAGCTGCCGAATTAGTTAACATTAGGTGCAAAAATACATCATCAACAAAAATAGCTAACGTTTACGCTTAATGATGGCAGTATGCTAGCTCATGAAACGAAACCGTTTTTTTCTAAGCTAAGCTAACGGATCGACCAGAAGCTAGCGTGCTAAGCTAACGGTAGACGTTGTTGTGAGCATGCCAACATAGTCTTGCGACAAATGACTGAGCCATTTAACCCAAACGCAATTATCCTAACTCCATTAACGTTACCATTACATTACACTTGTTTCATCTCGGAGTGTGAGGACGTTGTACGTGTGGGAGAACAACGTTAGCCTCTACCTAGCTTGCTGTAGCAACTAGCTATGTAGAAGACTAGGCTAACCTCTTTGCTGACATTTTTTGCAGATGAACAGGAGGGCGATGGACTCAGAATCGCGAGAGAAAGACTCGCACACATGAAGACTTCCGCAGTAAAGGCCACAGGTAGAGTAACTGTGTATGCGAGGAGCTGTGTGTGTTTCTTACGCAATGCGAAACCATATAGTTGAACACTTTGTTTTGTCTCGCGTAGAGGGCTTGTCCTTGCTTGGAGCCTATGAGGACAGTGATGAAGAGGATGCTGGAGACTCTGTTCCGCGTTCAACTGGAAAGTCAGCTGACATCGACAGTACATTGGCCAATTTCATGGCTGTGAGTATAATTTGCTTTATATCTTAATCATCTGTTTTGTATAACTTAAAGATAAATAAGTTCATGCGTTTAGGTTAACTTGTACCTATTAGTGGTACAGTTGAGGCTCTTGCCTACTGCATAACATTTACGTATATACGGTTCACAACAGCAGAAACACAATCTGTTAACTCAGTTTGTATGTAATTGAGGTACATAATCAACCAACTGGTATTCACCTTTGTCGGCCTCAGACCAGTTCTGAAATGCACGTTCCTTGATCGGTTTTGTTTCGATGGTATATCTAAGGACTGTACCTAGATTAGCCGAAAGATTCAAGAATACATTATTAATGAATTTCTTTCTCCATATCATTTGACTAAGTGAGAGGACAGCTGATGATGCAAAAATAAAAATGATACTTGGTGCCTTTTTTCTTTTCAAGTATGTTTTGGTTTTCCCAATTTACAATCTATTTTGTGAAGGCATCTAACCTGGGCCTAGTGTTTCATTAATAAATCTAATTATTTTTTCTACCGACGAGTGTTTAGAAGAGTTCATTCTAAGGCCTGAAAACAGTTTCTCAAAAAATATAAATTCCTTTTGCACATTTTTTCCACCACAGGAAATTGATGCAATCACCACCCAGCCAAATTCAGATGATACAGCTCAACCTTCGGTCCCAACTACCACCCCACCCAGACCTGAGGTTGATGCTCGGCAGCCAGCTGCCAGTGCAGACCAGAAACAACAAAGCACAGAGTTTGTGTACAACACTCAGTACTCACTTTCTGGAGGTAACTGTCTATCGGCCACCCTTTAGTATTGCAGAACATAAGGATTGTGTGCAATATATCACCTAAAATCTGCTTTGATCTGTTTCCAAGAATCTCATCGTTGTTTGTTTTTTGCAGTGGGTGTAGAGATGGGAGACTGGCAGGAGGTGTGGGATGAGAACTCTGGCTGCCACTACTACTGGAGCACTCAGACCAATGAGGTGTCCTGGGAGCTGCCGCACTATCTAGCTGATCAGGTGCAAAGCCTGGGGCAGACTAATAACAGGTAGGAGAAACTGACAGAGACACAGTATCATCACAACTGTGTGAACAGCAGCTTCATCTTTTGAAGTCACTGTACCTATCTGACCTCAAGTACAATTCTTTACACATTTCTTTGGGTTTGTCTCAAGTACAACAATTCAGACGTGTATGATGTATTTTGTACTTTTCTTTGTAGCTCTCGTGTCAATGGCAACGGCACAGCGCATGAAGCCCATCACACCAAGGAAAGTGCTGCAATTGTTGCAGCCCCGCTGTCTGTGAAGGAGACCAAAGTGAAGGCAAGTCTCATTCAAGTCCAACACAAATGTGAATTAATTTGAATCTGTGGTGTTTAAAGACATTTATTCTGAGTTTTAATATGTCACCCTCATGTTTTTCTCTAAAAGGAGGTAATTGAGAGTGTTGTAGGCATCACAAGTGAAGAAGAGGAGCGCCATGGAGTGGCTGCGTCTCTGCTTGGTCCTTTGATCCCGTCTGAAGTGAAAGAAGCAGAAGAAAAATGGAGAAAAAAACTGCTTAAAGGCTTGGATGAGACTGAGGACAGTGTCGATTCTGACGGGGAAGGTGTTCACAATGCAGGTTCCCCATCTCCCCCTCTGTCTGACCCGGACTCGATCCCCACTGTCCAGAAAGATCTTTGCCCCAAGAAGCAGTCGGAAGACAACTCTGATGCTGAGGAGGAGACAGAAGAAGACACAATGGAGCTGGAATTGGCCCTGGAGAGGAAAAAGGTGTGTATTGGGTCCAATATAGTTCTGTGTTGGGGGGAGGGGGATCTAGCTTTGTTCATGAACGCAACGGCACAGGAACGTCTGGGGGGGGAATTTCTTTTTAATTTGGCACAAGCTTCCACTTGGACTCAAGGATGAACTGATTTAGAATTGGGAGGTCAAAGGTCACTAGCTAATTATGACTGTTTCACACAAAGTGAAAGTGAAGTGATGATGTTTTGGACAGACATGGGTGTAAACTGCAACGTGACTG